ACCTTGTCAAATCGCTGACTTATGGCAAGTCAAAGACAGGCCATGGTTTCAGCGAAGTCAATCTCTGGGGAATCGTTCAATCTGATGTAGCAATGGAGTGTTAGACAAAGCCAGACGCCTCTGATATGTTTTTTTAGGCAACACAAATATTAAATGAACACATCACATTGACCTAAGGTTAGGTATGAAGGTCAGGCCAAGGTAAAAACCAACCTGTTTTATTACTCTAGGGGTTGCTGTATGGAACAGTTTGTGGTCCTCATTTCGAATTTATTGATAGCAGGAACCGCCTTATGCATCTTCCTTGGCTCCTTAAAGATGAGAATAGGTCATTGACTTAAAATGGCCCAGATCAACACTTTGTTCTTAGAAACATACTGCCTAGCTTAATCTTTATCGCTTGTTCAAATGCAAAATTGAGAGCAATCTTGTATGGTTTTGGTCACCATGACCTTCAAAAGTTGGAGCAAGGTCACTGGCCTTTAATGAGCATGTGACCTTGTGCTTAGAAACAATTATTTAGGCTCTGGGAGCACTTTGGAGACTGAACCGGAATTTGATCTTGTTTTACCTTACTTAACCCGAAAGTCATGACCTACAAAACCTGAAATATGACCTAAATGAGTTCATCTACAAGTGAACACACCCTGTCAATTTCGCGCTTCTAACTTTCTTAGTTCCCGAGACTTCAGTGGGGCTAAATTGACCCCCACCCGATTGAAGAGCATCTAGGCGGCCACCCGGGCCATGGCCGTGAAATGCAGGGAATCATCATAAAAAGGCTACCTAAGCTCAAAATCCCGCATAAATGCGGAATAGTACGTTCAACGTTCGCCTTGAAAGGATGGAGTGATGGTCGATGCGATCCTCTCAGGAGTAAAAAAGCTCCTCTCCTGTCACCGACGAAATCTGGAACTGTCTAAATTGTCACCTGGACCAACATCTCTTAGAAGTGGCTGCAATATAGCTTGAAATGCGATACACCACGTAAAACAAAGAATGCAATGCAGCAAGGCCTTCATCAGTTGTTGGTTCGTTAGCTCATTTGCACTTAAGTATCATTTGCTTGCCATCAAACAGTGAATGATGGTTGAGACTAAACTAATAAAACTATCAGATACAGGCATACCAAACATAACCAGCCTAGAGGCGAGATTTTTTTTATTCAGCTTGAGGGAGGACCTCCTAAGTAGGAATACAGCTTTCTAGTTGTTATCCCCTTATTTTTTCATTGTTTGGTTACATGGTCTCATAGTTCGAGTTTTCCAATCCTTAGTTTCATGTCCACTGTATCATAGAAATGAATGGCAATTGCTCCTGGTTTGATCCACTGAGTTTGGTGACTTGTTAAGATTGTGGCTCCCTGGTTAACAAAACAAAAACTAAAAATCTTAGTAGGATCGGCGGGCAATTTTGGATTTACTCCTTATATTCGTTTTGATACAGACTTGTACTGAAATATCACATAAATCTCTCCATTTTCATGTTTATTCCAAGAGGAATAATGCTATCAGTATTTTCTCATCTATATGAAAACAAAAGCAGATTAATTTTTACCTCGCTTTGACCTCCATACCTGACCATACATTCATCACATTGGCTGTACTTCTTATGGCCGTTTCTAACTCTCCGTTGTTGCGTTACATGGGACGATTCCCTAGAAATGCCCTTTCCTTATAGTCATGGCTTAACTTTGACCTGCCATTGGTCAGCGACCATACAAGTTACATCTAGCTTTTAGATCAAACGATCCGCTAAGGGACAATTTGACCCATCCATCCGACCGCGTGTTAAAGCCCAAGTTGAAGGGAATTTTCCATATCTAAACCTACTGAAAAACCATCAGACAGGCTAAAAGAAGCTCGCTCATAACTATTGGTATAATTTTAAGTGGAAAAGACCGCTATCAACGACAACATTTCTCTGTCTCATAAATGTGCTCCTCAACACGTCATTGTTTGTGTCAGTCGTCATTACGTCATTACGTCACATTACGTCACAGTCAATGTGTCATTGTTGCATGACAGCACTCAGGTGAAGTCCTGCCACCTTCTGAGAGGTGGTCGCGGCGGTGTTGGATGTGTAATGAGCCAAATGCTGATGGGTGCTCGTGTTTTAGCCCTTGCTCGTGGTGTTCTTGCGTATCTATTCGTGAGTTTAAGGTGCTTTCTGTGGTGGGGCCCGTATTGGCATTCTCTGTCGAAGCACTTTTCTTGTGTTACTCCAATACAAATCTCATCTCCTTAATAATCAAAAAGAATGTATAACTTCCTGTATGATGGAGCAAAACCACGTCATTCGTGTTGGAATCTTGCAAGGCGTGCACAAATTTGGTTGAGAGCCAATTGACCGGCGTCATCTCTGGAAATTATGCTCACGAACGCCAGATATAACCGACTCGTAGTATATCTTTTTGCTCTTTCACTCAAGTATATTTCTCTAGACCTTAAACGAGTTCATATTACACTCATTGTCCTCGACAGACACACATTGGTGATGCAACGGTCTGTGTCCTAAGCCGAGAGACATAGACCGATTGGCACTACAGGTGTGTGTGTAGCTCAGTTCATTGGGGCCGACTTCACCCAAAATGCAAATGGTTTCCAAGTAATCAGTCACAAACGCCACAAAACGTTATGCATCACACTCATCGATTTTGCCGACCGAAATTGCAAGGTCAGGCTCATAACCTGTCAGTTTTCAGACGACGTTATTGGTGAAATTCGTGCGCAGAGGCAATATCGCTGAACCTCCGTATGCTCAGTTTCCGCAAAAGGCTGCCATTATGAGGCGTATATCATGCCCGTCTGTATGGGTTCCCAAATGTATCCGGCTCCATTAGATGATATTGTTGCGCCACTACATGAACACAATTGATAACCTCTTCTCCGATATCACCTCGCTCACCTGATACCGCATTAGGTGCCTCATTGGTCAATCACAACAGATTGATAAATAGCGGTGACGACCGAACCGCATCATTTATTCTCGCCATTATGATTAGCTACGTTCTCTGCTTGGTACCGATGTCCGCTGGTCGTTGGACCACTGGCGGTACGCCAGTTCACACGCACGCCACATTGGGTCGTTGGACCACTGACGGTATGTCAGTTCAAACGCACGCCGCATTGTGTCGTTGGACCACTGACGGTACTCCAGTTCACGCGCACGCCACGAAGCGCAACCAAAAAATAAACGATTGCCATTGATCGTAAAGCGCTTCAGGGAAACGTGTATGTCGCAGGGTTACAAGTTCACAAGGTTACAAGCAAGATCAGTTTACAAACAGCAGATGAGTGACAATGTGCTCAGAGGAATCTAACCGCGGGCTCAATGCTCTATATCTAGAACACGCTTACCGTGCTTTTCAGGTTTTGAATGAATGAACGTCATTTTCATTAAAGCACGTGCAGTTGTCCAATAAAGCGACGAACATCCGTGACATGGCGGACACATATGGTGGTCGTGCGCCATATGACACACACATTCGTGGTACCACATCCGTTATAAGGCAGACAAAGATGGTGGTACCATCAGAAAATATGAGACTGCGAGAAACTCTCGTCTTTAGAGTTTGTGGTGCTGTCTGTCAGGACCACACAATGATGTACTTTTGACAAGACCCCAGAGACGTGGCTGATGGACGTGGAGCGGGAGAAAAGGGTGCCGAAAGAGCGGGCGAAGGGTTGTTCACACCCCGCCCCTTTAAGCAGCCTTCCCCATTGGTCAATCATCATGTTCGCCCTTCAAACATAGTTGACTCAAATCCTCGGAGAAATCTGCCACGAGAGTGGAGAGGCAGATTCATGGAGAACAGAAAAGACAGCGAGCCTGTGGACAAATCTGCTTAAAACAGTAGAACAACCATCCCGCCAGCAAAGGATAACCGTGGATGTTTTTTTCTCGCTGTGTTATGTAATTTGCGGGGTAAATATACAATAAAATGTCAGCCGATGATTTTGTTTCATTTAAAGAAGACCTGAGAACGGGTTTTTTAAAAGGAATGTTTTGCTTAGAGCACGTGACGGCAAAAACAGCTGACTGCAGGAAGGCCAAACTTCACTGCAACGCCATATCCAAACTTCACTTCTCACCCGAGCTTGACCTGTTGGTTAAGGCCCTTTACAAACTGGCATACGCTATCTGACGCAGGTATGCAAAGGCTGTCCTATATAATGAAATAACCCCTACATGTGGCAAGACGTGAGTATCACATACCATAAATTTCCAGCAGCATTATACATTGAGCCCGTTAAATACAGCTAACACATATTTATGTGTAAAAACTATGTGTAACTATGTGATAACTCTGAAAGTGTGCGTGCATGCATGCATGCGTGAGTGTGCGTGCTTGCGTGTGTGTGTGTGCTGGTGCGTGTGCGCGCACGTGCGTGTGTGTGTGTGTGTGTGTGTGTGTGTGTGTGTGTGTGTGTGTGTGTGTGTGTGTGTGTGTGTGTGTGGTGTGTGTGTGTGTGTGTGTGTGTGTGTGTGTGTGTGTGTGTGTGTGTGTGTGTGTGTGTGTGTGTGTGTGTGTGTGTGTGTGTGTGTGTGTGTGTGTATCTTTACCGTTACGCCACTGGTTAATTCCTGCTTACAATAAGTCATCGATGCACCCAGGAAATAAAGCTATGTGAGGACGCCTCCTGGCTTTAATTTTTCCCTTCCATTCCAAATGTACATTCGATTTGCCTTAGTTTGACTGTCAGATGTTAATCTTTGACACGGAATCAACATCATTGGACGGCGGCGAGCGAGACTGCGCGTCAAAGTGTGACATGCAGTATTGTGTAAGTGCAATGGCTCTGTCCCATCCGGGAACGGCGGCCGGAATGCTGCCACCCAACTCAGCGACGCCAATCCGACAGCATTCCCCCGCTCCCTACCAACCCCACCCCCAACAAAACTATCCAGAGCGCTCCAAAACCCAACCCTGGAACCGCCCATGCCGCCGCCCGACGGCGTTGGCGGCCGGTCCAGCCTCTGACAACGCGCCCACTCACCGGTATGGCCTCCAGCAACTGGGTGGTGACGGAGTACTGCGCGCTGGCCGTCAGGCCGGCGGGCGGGTTGACAGTCATGTCCATGTCGGCAGTGATAAGCGAGAGCGAGATGCCGGCGGCGAGCGGGTCCTTCTGCAGCTTCTTCGGTCGGCCGCACCTATGCGGCCGGGTCAGCTGGGTCAGCTAGGTCAGACGGGTCAGCTGGGTCAGCTAGGTCAGCACCCTACCAACGGGCGCAGCAGCGGCGATGATGGATGGGTTGTGATAATCATGGGTCGTAAGTGGTCATCAAAGCAATGCAAGGTCAGCAGGGGTCATCTTAGGTCAGCAAGACCAAGGAAGTCTGTTATGATTGTCGTTGATTGACATTGGAAGGTCAGTTTGGGCTAGTATTCAAATCAATAAGCAACATAAGGACAATCCAGCCGTTACCACAGGACTGGGGGCACGGGACTTTGTGTCCGGAATCACGAGATGTGTTAGAGTCGTTTTAAATGCGATGCTCCACATCTGAAGATAGTGCAGGAAACATCAGATGTGATGAAATAAGCCCATTTATAGCTACTGGCATACTTCTAGGTGAAAAAGACAGCTGCTGTCAACACACTTCCTCTATTTGATAAATACACTTGTTTCATATGTCATTCTTTGATTGCGTCTTGAAACGTTCGTTTAATGTTTCGGTGCCGTCAAACTAGCCGTAAGAAATTCCCACCATTACTCTCACTTCAGTCTCCTGACTGGTGGCCGTGGTGATGCGGGAGGCGTTTGTTTGTAACCAAATATCGTTGTGTTCGTGTTTTAGCCAGTTCGTGTGATCTTTTTGCGTATTTAACCGTTAATTTAAGGTACTTGCTTGTGTTTGAATGTTCAGTTATGGAGTTATTCTTAAGTTATTCCATTGGAGGCCTTATTTCCGTAACAACTAGCAACTGTGTCCGACTTTTTTATAATATGTGGCAAAAAGCGTGATTTGTGAATGGCATTCATTTAAACTTCTTATCATCTTATCTTACTTACTTCATCTACTTACTTATCATCTTACTTCATCCTGCACCCTCGCGACATCCCGCTTGTCCGGGCAGGCCGCATGCACCAACCGCGAATGGGAAGGGAGCCCCGTGAGAAGGCGGACCCCGGCCGGGTATCCAGCGCACGTGTACGAGGGTTGGCCCCCCAGACGCATGCAAGCCTGCCCCACCGCTAACCACTTTCCCTCATCCCATAACCCTGAAATGACCATTTCTGGTCGAAAGGGCTCGAACCCAAACAACTACACAACCAAGCTCGTAAATGAAGCTTGCACAGCATGTTTGACAGTGACTGAGAGCCAATGCGCATGCATCATATCTGAAAATCGTGCTCACAAACGCCAGATCTGAATGGTGCGTCGCTTACATTCGTCTTGGCCTTGAACACCGCATGGCCAATGAGGTGTCAGAATTTGGCTGATGTTGTTATGACATCATGGATGCCTGAATGACCTTGACGTCTGCACGAACTAGTCTGCAGAACTTCGCGGGCGATTAGCTCAGGCACTAGGGGGTTATAGGTCTTGAGAAGGCTTGGGCTATGAACCGCATCAAATTCTTTTCAGAATGACTTTTTACTTAAACAAGGCCTACAAATGTGGAGTGCACCCTCTATTTTCCCTTGACTGTGGCGTCTTGTGGCCGGTGACAACAACCGCGCTAAAGGTTATACGGTGTCAGTGGTCGGACAGCATTGGGCTGAGGCTGCGCTGAGCATTGTGACACGTTGATACAGTTAAACTCTTGCTGAAGGGGCTCAGACTACATCTTAACACGGCATCCAGAACGAATTAACAGAATCAAGAGGGGGTGATCGGAGTCAGGAAAGGTCAGTATGCATCAGCGCAGCAGGGATCAGCTGGGAACAGCTGCGGTCGGAACGGTCGCGACATGTGGGAAGAGATCAGCGGAGAGGTGAGCAGCGACCTACAGCGGTGAGCTGCGACCTACAACGGTGAGCTGTGACCTACAGAAGTGAGTGGTGACCTACAGCGGTGAGCTGCGACCTACAGCGGTGAGCTGCCACCTACAGCGGTGGGCTGCGACTTACAGAGGTGAGCACAGGCTGGACCAGGGTGAGGGAGCTCAGCAGGGTCATCAGTGATCACATGGTAGTGTACGCTGGCCAGATGATCACGTATCAGTTACGTGCTCGAACAGTGATATCAGAGCTTTACAGCGGTCACCCGAGTCTATTGATGACCGCTGTGGGGAACGTAGGTTACCCGATACCAGCAAGACTCGGCGCAAACAAATTGAGGTACCCAACAGCCCACGGATGTAACGTCGTGCCCGCGAAGCTGTAACTGATGGAACAAGCTTTAAGCCACGGACATCATAACGCAACGCTAATATGCGATTAAAACGGATATTTTGGGGTAAAATTTCATACCAGTGAAGAAGGGGATCGCTAGCGTGTTATCCAAATTCTATTGACGACGGTGATCGCAACAGAAAGGCGACGGTGATCAGAGCAAAGGTCGGAAGCTTTGGGGGAAAACAATTGGCAAACCTGCCAGAGAATATTTGATGTTTCGGTGTGTTGGTTTATGTCGTGTGTTGCCTTACAGACCGGCAATCTCTTGCCTTCATGACATGGTTATGGCATTGTTCAATGGATCAAATATTCCTAAGCTTGCGCACTATTTGCCGATTGAAAGGGACGCGCTCGGTGGGGATCACATCTCATACCCCTGATCTCAAAAGCTAATACAGCTAGGCACACCAAATTCACATAGGACCGTATGACTCTATCTTAACTCACGTACGATATATTTTTATGTCCCTTGGTTATGATATCCGGGTTAAATAAGGTCAAACGAGGTGAAACACGAACTCACTATCCGAAATGCCGCCTAGTTATCGACATCTCAAGCAACCAGCTGAACTTAGGTAAGTTTCTAAGTAAACGGTCATTCATTTTCATAGGAGATCAGGGACCTTATTTGACCCTTAAAGGGTAAAAACGACCAAAGTCCCCTAGCATGATTTTCAATTTGAAGTTACAACCAGCGCTGAGATCTATCCTAAAGAGCATGTTGTTTGAAGCAAAAGGTCGATTGACGTCGTTCTAGGTTGTTGATTGCATCTGAGCTTTATAAAGTCAAAATTAGGAAGTCATGGACATCATTATGACCAAGGAGTTATAAATGAGCATCTGCAAGAACCCTATAAATCAAGGATTTCAGTTTAAAAAATCAGTTAGGTATTTACTTTGATGTGAACTTCATGTCTTACCCAAAGTCAGTGGTATTAGTCGCAATTATAATATCAGTTGTCTGACTGTTTAACAAGCCACCTCAAAGTTCATCATTTTATCAAACACTTTGCCGTAGCATCAGCTTGAAAGATTCCCTAGAAAATACCTCGCTGACAGCCATGACCTGCCTTTGAATTGTTACAGAGCAGCGAGCTTATCCGGAACATTTAGCTTGCATGCCAGAAGATCAGCTGTTGAAGTGCTTACTGATATACATTGTTTAGCGTCACTACGGTGCACCCTTCGGAAGTTATTCTGGAAAACGTCAGGGATCGAAATCAAGTGACTCACACCCCACCTGAAAACGTGCAAAAGTATTGAAAAGCGAAAAGAGGACGTCTGAGCTTAATTCCTTAACAACCGAAAACGTTTATTGTCCAGCCTTCGACGAAGATCTATAAAAATAGGCATGAATTTGAAATAACTACAGCCAATTCAAAATGTGCAATGAATTGTGATGCAAATATCTTTTGACATAACTTTTGGGTTGAGTTCTTGCGTAGCTTTTCCTAAAAAACAACCGCAATTGCAGCATAAGCCAAGTTGAATAATACATCTATGCACACGCTTTCACTCAAACATCCAAAGATCACTTTCACTGAGTGCAGTATCACCTGGTGTCGTAGGCCATGAGCCCAAAGAAGATGAGAGCCAGCAGCAACACCAGGCCCAAAGTGATGCCGACGATGCAGCTGGTGCCGCAATTCATGCCGTCCACTGGCTCGGCTAGGAGAAGGAGATTAAGTCAGCGCACCATGCTGCGTTATGCACCAGCGTACTCCACTTCTTAGATTGCTCAGTGCTGACATGTCATGTGTCAAAATTGTGGCACGACAAAACGCTTCTCCGGTCAGCATTGTCGCTCATGCGATCCTTCAACCACGAGTTGATCGCACAGTTTACAAGCCCAATGCCAGTCAGGCGGACTGTTGCCTGCCAGCCCGGCAATGATCCGTCAGTTACACAGCCAGCATTCACCCCACTAGCTATCAATCAGTCACACAGCTATCCGCCAGCATCGGAGCTTTGAAGCGGCCTCGCAGTTATCAGATCATTGGGTGTCAGCGAAACTGACGGCAAAATCGCAGAGTTGTTGTCGGACCCGCCGTTGTTGGGACCCGCCGCCACCTTCCAACCAATCAGGTGGAGCCCGCTCTGGCGCTCGGCCCTTGGTTGTCCAGAAAATCCAATGGCCAAACGGCAAGGCCACCGAGAAGGTCACCATCAAAGGTCATCCACGATGGGCAGAAACATGTCCCACATAGGCGATGTCATCAGACAGTAGCAGAGGACACATTTATCCCGAGCAGAAGACGGAAGGTTGCGCTTCAGGTCTAAGGCTATCCCAAGTTGCAGGGCCGGCCGAAGACCGACCAAAGTCACGTCAAAGTCAATTGGCACGCACTCCAAGCATATATAGGAATGCCAACTTGCAGAGGTTGCCCGCGGGGTGATCAGCATTCAGGGTCATACTCAAGGTCGAAGGTCGAACAGATCAAACGTCGCCACGTCTGAGGCGGCCACCGGTCGGAGATCGAGGGCCAGCCGCCGGGCGACGATTGACCGAGGTCACGCCTCCGGGCAGAGGTCACTAACGGTGGGGGTGATGGCGAATAACCCTCCGTCAGAGGTCACCAATCAGAGGTCCTTCAGAGGTCAAGCTGTGAGTCAGAGGTCACACCTCTAGTCAGAGGTCACAACTTTAGTCAGAGGTCACACATTTAGCCAGAGGTCACAGCCAGGGGTTGTTCAGAGGGCACGCCTTCAGGCCGAGGTCACTCACGGTGGGGTGCGTGGCCGCTGCCTCCGTCCGGTTCGGAGACATTGGAGTCGAGCGGCAGATGGTCGGACGGCGAGCAGACGCACGAGTCGACCGAGTGACAGAAGCAGACGCCCCGGCCGAGCTTGATGCCCCGCCCGGCCGCCGGCAGCCTCAGGAAGATGCCCTCCTGACTGTCCGCTGGCGACGGAGGGCGCGGCCGTGTAGACACCCACTCCGGAGGACAGGTGGAGATGGCCGTGCGACAGCCACCACGAGCGTCTGTACCGCGGCGACAACGAGTGCGGGGCGTGATATGAGATGGTCATTAAGTGTACGTAGGAGACGGAAAGGGTGTGGAAAGAGGGTGGAAAGGGGGTGCCATCAGAGGTGGCCGGATGCCTTCTGCCCTCGCAGTGGTCAGCCATGGGCGCTGCCCTTCCCAGGCGGCAGCCTATCTGTCAACTTAGGGCAGTGGTGTGCTACCCACCAACCTCATATACTAGACAACCTGTCTAGACTGATAGCCTAGTCAGACCCTGCTGGAGCTCAGAGCGCTACAATTTCCTCTTGCGTTGGCCGGGTCGCCTGCAGCGGGAATTCTCCAATCATTTATCATTGCAATGACATGCTACATGACACATTTGAGCTCCGTCATATGCGTGTTTTGTACATGTGGCTACGTACGTGGTTTGCGTAGCGCTGAGCTTTGTGCGCGTGGTAGCAAATCGTGATGATGATCGTGGTGTAGGATTCCCTGTCCACGTGTTCCCCCTCCCCCGAGTCTGCTGGCCACTTTGGGAGTCACGTTGCTCTAGACCGCACAGCAGTGACAAATGCGGCCCCGCTGAACGGATGACGCTGCGCAGCACACAAACAGCGCAGAAAAACCAAGGGTAGCCTTCATGATACAGTGAGACATTCATGTTCATGATAACCCAGTCGTGTCGTGTTGGGTTGCAATATCCGGAGAAGGCATGATAGGCATGACGACCCAGAAGGCATGGCGCGGTTCCGTGCGTGTTTTGCAGCTTTGGGCTTCCATAGCACAGCCATCGCAGAGTGCCTGCCTGACGATCTCTGATCCCTGCCTTATGAGCGACGCACCGCTGGGGGAAAGACATTCATTCTCCGTGTCTTTCCCGCTATCAAGCTACTCAGAATTTCGAACCACCATCCTCTCTCGCCAGAAATCATCTGACCAATCAGATTTCATTGACCATTGACGTCATCCCAGCGCCGCCGATGATCAAGTTCCGAAGTTGCGGAGCTTAATACTGCATCTACCATAGGGGTAATGACGCTATCGAGGGCGTTCAGCGCTCACGATCAATGCACAAGGATCTGGGGCCCACATCATTACCGTAGCATAATCCCCGGGAAGTCACTAACGGTGCTGCCAAGCGCAAATGCCGCCTGCAGAGCCGGTGAAAGAGTTGATGATGACGTCACTGGACGGATCGGGAGGGGGGGGGGCAGCGTGGGAACTGCTTTAAACCTGGAGATAAAAAGGCTGAGCTTAAATAGCAAAGCTGTCTAACGTTGTTCCGGGCAGTCTACACCGTCCTTACTCCGGGCGAAGGGGATTCCCAACGTGTCTCCAGAAGTCATGTTGCCCTTGCCGTGCCCCAGCGCCTGAGCCCGCGGCAGTCTCACCGGCACAGTCCTGCGGACAGATGGCGCTCGAGAGCTCCTCCAGCGGGTCACACGTGCCGTCCGGACACGTGTCCAGGTCCGGGCTGCACGTGCCGTATAGCTCCGTCAGGTGCTTCGCTGCCGGGCGCCATGAGCACGTGTCGTTGGCGCCGGCGCCGCACGTGCTCGTGCATTCGTTCTCCCGGTATTTTGAGGCGCACATTTCACGGCCAGCTTTGGCGCCGCTTTGGACGTCATCTCCACACACGGCGTCGTCGCCGTCCGTTAGCCAGACGAGGACGGTGATATTTCCGGTCCAGGCGGCCGTGTCCTCTGGCACCACCACGCCCTCCGCATGTCCCTCCGACGTCACTGGCGCACTCGCCTCATCGCCTGGCGGCGTCGAGGCTTCGACCTGCTCCAGTGACGTCACCAGCGTCAGCACGACGGGTGATTGGGCGTGCACGAGCTGGTCCGGCCGCCAGACGTAGACCAGTCCGCCGTCTGACGTCACCGCGAACGCCGGCCAATCGCCGTCGACCAGCTGTATCCGGCGGCCGGCCGCGGGGGGAACGGCGAACACGCGGGCGAACCGCGACGCCGCACGGCTGATGGTGACGTCATAGGTTCGCGGCAGGGCGTCCGTGGCGAGCGGTGTGGTGTCGGGCGGCGGCCGCTCGGTCGCCGGACACGAGGACAGCAGGTTCACCGTTATCGTGATCTGTGGGGCACAGGAGGTCGACATATGATGAAACATGGTGATCTGCCCCTGCCTGGGGTCAAGAGGTCGCTACGAGTGTGTTCTGTGGATAACTGGATCAGCTTGCTCCATGTGAAGCCAGACAACCAGCCCCGCTGAGTGACGCGTCACATTATGTACGGCAAATACATGCTGCATGGTGACCTCGACAATCAATTTATCTGAGTATGTGATCTTGCGTCCGTGTACAGCTCAGCCTTTCAGACATGATCAGGGATGTATGTTGCGACAAATTACTTTCGCATACATATGCGTAAAAACGGGAGGGGGGAAAAGAAGAGTGGCCAAAGCCATGAAGCTTTTTGGGAAAATTTGGCGTTGGCCCGGTCGTGATGGACGGACTTTTCAAAACAGAGGCTTGTCCCCCCCCCCCCACACTCTTTGGAACAAGCCCCCGTCCGAATACTGCGCCCCTAGGCGAATTATTCATTGGTGCGACTCAATATGCCAAGAAAACGATGGACTGCTAAAAACTTTGACGGGTGTTTAAAACCATGGTATTATAGACCGTAACGAGGAAATCGAGCAATGACCGTAGCGAGGGAATCGAACGATGACCGTAGCGAGGGAGTCAAGCGATGACCGTAGCGAGGGAATCAAACGGTGACCGTAGCGAGGGAATCAAACGATGACCGTAGCTAGGGAGTCAAGCGATGACCGTAGCGAGGGAGTCAAGCGATGACCGTAGCGAGGGAGTCAAGCGATGACCGTAGCGAGGGAGTCAAGCGATGACCGTAGCGAGGGAATCAAGCGATGACCGTAGCGAGGGAGTCAAGCGATGACCGTAGCGAGGGAGTCAAGCGATGACCGTAGCGAGGGAGTCAAGCGATGACCGTAGCGAGGGAGTCAAGCGATGACCGTAGCGAGGGAGTCAAGCGATGACCGTAGCGAGGGAGTCACGCGATGACCGTAGCGAGGGAGTCAAGCGATGACCGTAGCGAGGGAGTCAAGCGATGACCGTAGCGAGGGAGTCAAGCGATGACCGTAGCGAGGGAATCAAACGATCTGCGATGTGGCGAACGCTATTATATTCGGGCACGCTGTGTTACAACACGCTAAACTCGAGCAGAGGGTGTCAGCGTTTGGCAGGAGGTTGAGCGCCCCGTCAGTGCGAAGCAAATTCCAATGGATTACACCAGAAGACTGCGATAGTGCGGTAAGTCGATTTCAAAATAACGCCAGCGCTAGGTCAGTGTTAGGTCAGTGACTACCCACATCACTACCTGTCTCAGTTTCAGACCTCTGCGCTCTGGCTTTGTCAATGGCAGACCACGACGGCCAAGGCAGGTCGTCTATGCCAAACGCTAAGCGCAAAACTCTGTTCACAACTACCTTAGAAAACCATTAAGAGTAAATCCGTCTCCAGAGTCGTCAGGCACATTCGAGCCGTCTCGCTCGTGAGGCTGTGACGTGCGATGGAGAGAGCACGCCCAAGCCCCGCATTACCGCATGCTGGGTAGCGATGCTGTGACGTCACCATGGAACTAAGTCACATGGCGCCAACGCTACAGCGGGGTGAAAACGCTGTTCTTTGCGGTCTAAATTATTGCTGAAATGCGCTTTGAGCCTACCCCCGACAGGGAGGTGGGGTAACCCATTTAATAGTGATTTATCCCGAAAAAAACTCTAGCCGGAAGGGCCTAGAAGTGGTCTGTGTAAAAGAGTACAGCATATAACAGCAAAGGATGGAGATGAGCTACGGCGGGCCAGACGGGCTCCCAGCACCCTGGAACGCGCATTATGGAATTGGAATGCACATCCTGTAGCCTTAGAGGGAAAGCTGTCAGCATGGATGCAGGCCTGCCCTTACGGGGTAGTGAGTGGTGAACCGCGGGAGGCTTAAATACAGCGCGCGCCACTTCAGTTCAAGATAGCAGAGTTTCCTGTAAAAGACCTTCGGTAAGTTTTTCAATTTCTGCCAGTCTAAGAGTCCTGGCCCATATCTCGGCCCGAAATAGTATAATTGGGATATATTAGGGCGGGTGGAGTATTATTCTCCGGGCACCATTTTTATCTAATCCATTCAACATTATATCTTAGGGCGGGTGGAGTATTATTCTCCGGGCGCCATTTTATCTAATCCATTCAACATTATATCTTAGGGAGGGTGGAGTATTGTTCTCCAGGCGCCATTTTATCTAATCCATTCAACATTATATCTTAGGGCGGGTGGAGTATTATTCTCCGGGTGCCATTTTATCTAATCCATTCAACATTATATCTTAGGGCGGGCGGAGTATTATTCTCCGGGCACCATTTTATCTAAACCATTCAACATTATGTCTTAGGGCGGGTGGAGTATTACTCTCCGGGCGCCATTTTATCTAATCCATTCAACATTATACACAAGGGCGGGTGGATGATTATTCTCCGGGCACCATTTCTATCTAATTTATCCAACATGATATATCAGTAAGTTAACCAGCACCTAGTAAGACCGTAGCACAGTATCAGCGAAATTTTGAGCACCTGCCCTCCTCACATACCCTTATTTTCCCATTTCACTCCATACGAGCACCGCAGTACGAAGATATTTGGACAATCATTGCCGATCAGTGAATGTAATGTAAACATTACATATATATTTAGTTATCTGCATATAAATATTTCTGTTACAAAAACATTTTAGTATAAATATTCTGGCGCGTTGGCCACAACGAGTATGGTGCGGCTGCTGGAACTGGAAAACGTGGATTAGGAGAATATAGTTATGTAATCAGATGCTAATATCGATTCGTCTTTGAAAGGTTTTAAGTGTAAAATTACGGTATCTAGTCAAATAACTTCAGACTAAAGGCGTAGAACAGAATTGCCATCCAGTTGATTGGCGAAATATTTGGTTTTAATTATGTGACTAGTATCTACCTAGCTTTTCCTAGTATCAATCAAAACCATACTGCGGCTACCAAACTTTAGTCCCATGGTGACGTCACGGCTGCGTAGTCTTTTACTCCAGTGGCCTTGAGCATGCCTAGCAGTCTGATTTTACGCGCGCCGCGGGAGCCTGATTGGTCCATGAGTCACGCGCCAACGGGCTGACGCAGTTCGTAGAAACTGCGTCATAAACTGGGTGTGTTTGGTTGTCGCTCTGCTCCGAAAGCGAATCGAGCGAAATATTGGGTCAAATATGTCAGCGATCGTGCAAGTCACCATCTAATCCAAACGTGTGAGCTACATTTCTAAAAGATGGAAATGAATGACACAAAAAGCTCGCTTGGTCAAACAGTCAGCTTACTTCACCCGTCGTTCAAACTGCGTGTTTAGCGCGCGGCAGAAGCGCTTTAGCGCGGTCACTCGGGCCTCCGAATTCACCCCGACAGCTTCTACGGTGGACTAAGACAGGTTCGCATCGGTGAACAAAGACTGGACGGATGATCCGCTTTCACATCTTTGGGCGCCGAAAGGCCTTCCGCTGCTGACTGCGGGCCGCTGTCATGGCCAGCACTGAAGCTGCTGCTGAGTGCGGGTCGCTGTCATGGCCAGCACTGAAGCTGCTGCTGACTGCGAGCCGCTGTCATGGCCAGCACTGAAGCTGCTGCTGACAGCGGACCGTTGTCATGGCCAGCACTGAAGCTGCTGCTGACAGCGGACCGCTGTCATGGCCAGCACTGAAGCTGCTGTTGACTGTGGGTCGCTGTCATGGCTAGTACTGAAGCTGCTGCTGACCGCGGGCCGCTGTCATGGCCAGTACTGAAACTGAAAATCTGGTCTGAAGGCGCATTGTGTGACAAAAAAGGTTGGCTACAATCGGGTGAGAAAACAACCGATGTGGGTGAAAACGCAATACAGATAGCGCACACCACAAGTTTCATATCGTTGTGTGCATGTGTAATATGGAAGGTAGTAGAGTCCCGAAAAAATACGATGCTTCTCATTCAATAGATGGTCTATCAAAGAGTATGAAATCGCACAGGCACTACACAGAAAAGCGAGCGCATTCATCCAGTGGTGTCATTTTGTATATATTAGGCGGCCTGAGCCCCCTCCCCATGTTGACTTGAGCCTCTCAATGCTCTTCTGAGCCTCTCCCCCACAATACAAATGCATGTGAACAAAAAATGCGGTGCTGGGCAGCATAAAATACAGCAAGTGTCTTTCCTGCTGGTACAATAAGTGCCTACCGGTATCAGTATCAGTCTAAAATTCCTGGTCATTATAAAGCATCGTTGCGACTTTTACATCACCTGCAAACCGTATGCCATTCGTCAGCATGACATCAATTTTGGAACCGACTAAATATATTCTTAATTTTTGTTTTGCATCAAAGGTACAACTAAATGTGGCGAAAATCCGAGGAGAACTGAAGATTTGGGGGTACGTAAGGTAAATCATATGGGTTCAGCTCCAAACGATTTCAGCGCAATTACACCCCACTGATTTAGAAACTTATTAGGTTCACGCTCGGGTTCAGGTTCGGGTTCGAGTTCGGGTTCGGATTCATGTTCTGACCTAGAGAAGCAACGTTCTCCAAAATATAACCCGCCAACCCAGCTCCCCCCGCCTAGTGAGTGGTGCAGCCTGCAAACGCCCTCTAGGCTGCGATGCTAGTGAGTGGTGCAGTCCGCAAACGCCCGCCATGCTACAATTCTAGCTAAAGGTGCAGCCCGCAAACGACCGCTATGCTACAATGCTAGTGAGTGGTGCAGTCCGCAAACGCCCGCCATGCTACAATGCTAGCTAAAGGTGCAGCCCGCAAACGACCGCTATGCTACAATGCTAGTGAGTGGTGCAGTCTGCAAACGACCGCTATGCTACAATGGTGATCGCCATGAGCTCACGAGTTTTTATTTATTGCAAATGCATTTCATCATTTCACCTTACCCTCAGATCTCTAAATTATATTGTGCACAAAATGGCACGCAAC